CCCCCACCTGCCTTCCCCACCTGGGCCGGTCGCAGCCCCAGACACTTGGCTGCCCGGAACAGAGCCCCTGCGGCCCTCCGTGACTTCTCCTTCTCATTCCTCTCCCACATCCATCTGGTCCCCAAGCCTGGGACTTTAACTCTGACGGCGTTTTCACATCTAACTTCCATTCTCCCGCCTCCTGGTCACCTCCTCAGCCAGCTCATCCCTTCATCTTCTGCACATCTGTAACATTCTGCGCCCCAATCTCCAGGTTTCCAGGTTTTTATTCCAGCTTTTGCTCTTCACTGGCCCCAAGACTCAGCCTTCAAACAGGAAACTGTCACACCACCACGTGACCTCTCAATAGCTCTCCTCCTTCCACAGTATTTTCAAACTGTGCTCCTAGGAACCCCAGGGGTTCCACAAAGGTACCTATGGTAGGTGACTCTCTAAGAGGTACCAGGAGGAGCCAAAAGCCCAGGTGGGTGAAGCTCTAGACCCCCTCCCCCCACTTCAATGCTAGGAGGTCTCAATTGTACCTCCTTCATTTATTGGACTTGAACAAAAACTTTTAATATGAAGAAAGGATTCTGTTGCGTACAAAATAAAAGTCTTAAAAACAACAACCACTCACCTTGCTGCAGGCCAGGGCCCAAGCTCCTTAGCCCGGCATGGGCGGCCCTCTGCAAGCTGGGCCCTGTGCCCTTTCTGGCATCACCACCGTCTCCTGCCCCAGCCCGGGCCCCGCCACACTGCGCAGAGCTCCTCTGCACGCACTCACCCCACCCTGCCTTTGCCCCTGCTGCTCCCTCTGCCTGGAATGTCCTTTCCCAACTGCTCCATCCCCCACATGCCAAAGCTCTGCTGCCTTCTTCAAGGCCAAGGTCACCTTCTTTCTGAAGCCTTCCCTCACCCTGTGGGCAGAATTAATTGTTCCCTGTTCCCTCCTGCACAGCGCTTCCCCGCTGACCTCTATTATAGTGCTGCCACGCGAGGTGGGGACAATTTGCTCATCTGTCTCTGTAGCCAGACTGTGAGCTCCTGGAGGCTGAGACTATAGCTCAGATTCATTTTTATTTTATTCCCACACAAGGCCAGCACTCACACAGAAGTGCACCGAGTGACTGGGAGTTTCCTTCACGATAGTGAAAGGACTGCTTTTCAAAAACCCGAAAGGCCAGTGTCATCTCCTCTGCCCAGGAACAGCTGCCCTGCATGGGGATGTGGGCTCCAGACACTGTCCCATGATCCGTGTCCTGCGTCTTGAGCCCAGGGATGTGCTCTAGGCACATGATGCCTGGAGCAGTCAGACCCAGAGGGACTCAGGCAGGAAGCCTGCCGGACACGAGGACCACCTCTGATGAAGCCAGGGCATGGTTCGCTGGTCAGTGGGCAAAGGGTCCAAGGTGCAAGCCCAGGCTCTGTCTGTGCAGCTGTATCATGTAGGGGGTCAGGGTGGGTGGGTGTGGCCAGGCATCAGGATAGTCTGTGGGGCTGGAGACGCTCAGAGTTGGGGACAGCAGTCTCTTCTGTGAGCTCTGCATGACTTGGAACAAGGCCCTAACCAGTGCCTGGGGAATGGAGCACAGAGTCTGGGACTGGGTGGCAGGGGGCCAGACAAAGCCCATACAAGGGGGAGTCACTGCTGGGATACAGAGGGCCCTGAGGTGGCAGGGCCTGCAAGGAGATGCCCTGCCAGAGGCTGAGTGGGCTCTCTTGGTGCTCACAGCCTCAGTGTCCATCACACAGCAGCTCGGCTGGGCAGAGGCAGTGCTCTGCTGGACCTCAGGGCTCTCCCTCCAACTCTAGGGCACGGCTGTCCTAATGCACCTGAGCACCTAGGGCAGTGGCGAGGCCTCCTACCTGGGCCGTGTCCATCTCATTCAGCATCACCACGGAGGAGCAGTTATAGTCGAACACCAGCCTCCAGAAGTCCGCCACGGTGTTGGGTAGAGGGTGCTGCGTGACCACAAAGGCGGCGGGCTGCTTGTGGCTCTGACAAAGGAATGACACAGGCTTTGTAAAATGT